AGGAGAATAGGTTGGCTTGTGAGAGGCTGCAGAGACATGTGTTTTCCACAGTGACTGGCATTGCTAAGCAAGCTGACAGAGAGCTGATAACACCTTGGCAAGCAGGGAACGGTGAGGTAAATTATCAGCGATATTAAGAAAAACCAGTGAAGAGCCACACCTTTACTGTGGCCTGCCACGTCTGCGGCTGCTGTTTGGAAAGAAGTACAAGAGACTCTCTGTTTAACTTCAGCTTTCTCCCTGGACGTGTGGGTGTACAGGGACGTTTATACGTGCATAAATGCACGCAGACTGGTGCTTACACGCGTTTTGGTATCCGTGGTTCCGTGATGCGTTTTTCCCACCGTGGTGTCGAGGCGGAGGAGGAGAGAAACAGGAGGGGGAGCTCTCGCCTCAGCTGCCGCGCCGCAGCCCGGGCTCCGCCGGGCAGGGGTGTTACCCCGCGCCGGGGGGGCTACCCGCGGCCGGGGCTTGGGGCCGGGCCTCCTCCTCCCTTCGGGCACCAGCACAGCGGCTGCAGCGATCACCCCCCAACTTGTCCTAATTCTGGCGGCTTTGAAAACCGCCACGTCGTTTTCGGTGTGCCCGCGGAGTGCCGTTTGCTTGCCTCCGCTGCCTTTAAAAAACCTTTCGCTCTGAAGGTTTGTGCCTCTTAGGGATTTACCAGCTGGGAAAAATCAGGGCTGCTCGTTTATCTCGTCCTCTCCAGTAAGCAATCACGAGAAGAAATAGCTCAGTAGTAACATTAAGGAGTTAAGCATTAATAAAGACCCTTTGAAGAACTTAGTAACAGCAAATTGTTGCTTGTTACCTAAAAAGCAACTCTGCCAAATGGACTGATGCCCTTTCGAAACACAGAAATAAATAGGGATATGATTAATAGAATATAAATTAGAAGTGGGATGATTTAATTTTGGCAACTCATTTGCACCTATCATTTTATGAACAATTATTTGGTTTTCAGAAGTCCAAATTAGTGTGCTTGCAAGGACTCCAAGTGCAAATTCAGAGCTGGAAATGCAAAGCGTGTAGAACAAAAATACAAAAATACTTGGCAGAGCCTGGCAGAGCACCTTGGGTGTAAAACGCATGCTTGAACAACGGAAGGAAAAGCTCAGGTTCTTGCCGTGACTCAGATACAGCAGGGACGTGAACCTCAGTCTTGCAGGTGACTTAGAGACCACAGAAAGGCAGTTCATGTGGTGTTTCAATTCCCAACTTTGAACGCAACCAGTGAGCTAACCAAAAAAGTCCCCAACCCAAAGCCCGTGAACAGGCAAGACAGTGAGAAGCTTACTCTATTGCACTGTGGTTAGAGCACACACTCATAGTGGGAAGCCTGATCTGCAGTTCCTACTCTTTTTTGAGATGAGTTACAATAAGGAGTAGGAAGCTTCTTTTTCCCTCACACTGAAAAATCCTATTTTTGCTTTGAATGTGAATGGAAACATATTTTGAAAGCCCTGAATTTTTATTTACTTTTTTTTTTTTAAGAACATGGGATTCTTGCTTTCCAATGCACACTATATAATAGATTGATTTAAAATCACCTTGGAAATTTCACAAGGAGTTTGGTCTCATTAAACCCAGAAGCAAAATGTTCACTGATTTCCACAAGATCAGGGTCTCACCTTTGGCTGAAATCTGCTTACTGATACCACATACCCCAGTATCTCTGGCTGGTAGAATAAATGCAAGCCGCCCTACTGGTCCAATCAGCCACCTATATTCACCTATTTATGATGTCTGCAGAATCAATACTGAGCACTACTGAACCAGGTTTCTTTACCAAAAATACAGGTTTTCCCACAAGAGATATGTGCTGTCACAGTTCAGTAAATGTATTTAATGTTAAGGTCTCTGTAATGTAAACAGCAGATTTATTTTCTTGTAGCTTTTTGGAGACGTTTAGATCAATGCCATTGTATGACTGACAAATTTAAGGCTTCCACAGATTCTGACTCTCTTTACAAGTTCATGAGTTACCATTAAAACCTGAAAGTGTTTTGGGTGGATTTTTGTTAGTCATTCCCTCTCCAGTAACAAATGGAATAATTAGACAGTTTCCAAAACTTTTTCAGTACCTACGATGCGTGTCAGATAACGTCAGAACACTCTAAATGCAGGAACTTCTGTGTTGACAGTCAATGATCCTCCATATGCTCTCACTAGAAGAACAACTTCCCAAGAATATGTAGTATCATAATGTGCAATGTGTAAAGGTAATAACAGCTCTAGAAAAGTAGGAATCGTGATAGTTGCAGAAATAATCTGCCATCAGATGAAGAGAGATACTATTATTAGGACACAGGGAGGTAGAACTTTTGTATCTACCCCTAGACTGTATTAGATAATTGGGAAAACAGGATATGCTCTCTGACCACCTCAGGCTTTCATATGGTGGTTGATGACACACTGAGGCGGGCTGGAGGCTGTTTTTAAGGAGATCACGAGAAGTAGCTGTTAAAAGTGAGCCTCCTATCAGGAGGCATAAGTTCACATCTCCATTCAAAAGTCTTTGGAAAAATACTGGGAAAAAAGCCTAACTGAAATCCACTATTTTTGGTGATGAAGAAGTGATGACCAGCATTCAGAATTGGTAGCAAGTGAGGTGAGAAGTGCTTCCATTCACAACCAAACCTTCAGCTGTTAGTCAGGAATAGTAGAATGACAGATTTGATCCTGAAGGCATTTGTTTCAGTCTACTTACCGTAACTTGCTGAAGACAATTTGCATCGCCTGGGCTTGCAAATACAATCTCCAAATCCCTTCCAACATTAAAGGAAATTCTGGTTTTGTTGGGATTTAGGGATTAATCTTTTTGTCAGAATATCAACTCGGTTTGTTACATTTATGCAGCAAAACAATGCTTTATTACAATATATGTAGTAAGTGTTGAAAGTACTTTTCAGACATTTCACTGGACAAGAACTGTTTGAGGCAATACTCTATTTAGCAAAAGTTCTAAGGTTTTCAATAAATGTCTGCTATCAGCTCTACAGGGAAACTAGTGATAATTCCCTAGTACAAGAATTAACTTTGCCTTTTTCATTAGAATGACTGCATGTATCAGCAAGGTGGTGGTGATTCAAAGCAGAATAGTTGCCTGAGATTGGTTTGCTTTGTTTCCAGCTGAAGGTTTGAAAGAACTCTGAGGCTATGTAAGACTGTGTTTATAAGCAACTTCCCCTTGCGCTGCCTGTCTTATCCCTACTGTGTGAGATAATACATTAGGATTGTGGAAATATGTCCTGTACTTGATGAGAGCTCAACCGTACCGATCTGTTTGTAATAGAATACAGTGAACAAAACATAGAGATGAGGTTGCTGGTGGTGGTGGAGGGGCATAGGAGGGAAACCACCCTTTGAAGGTTACTTGCAGAGTCCCAGGTTAGTTTCCCCAAGTTTCAGAACTCACTTCATTGTAAAATATTGCAGGCAAGAAAAAACAAACAATCACTTCCCCCTCAAAAAAAAACCCTTGACTTCTTGTGCTCGCTCGTGGTGACTCTGAGGCCAGAGCTTATGCTCCTGGGGGGTGCAGAATGGATGGAGCCCACAGCACGAACCCCACTGTGGCTGATTCCTGTGGCTCCTTGCTGCCAGCGGAGCCTTCTTGAGGGTCTCTGTAAGGTTCCGCTGCTCTTTCAAAATGAACCATCAGATCTGTTTTGTTCCAACTTCTGCCTGGCCCTTCTGGGCATCGAGGGGAGTGGCAGCACTGTCGCTTCACAACGGCCATGACCTTACCACTGTGGATGTGCTCTGGGATTTTACAGACTGAGGTCTGCTTGCCACCTCATCTTTTTATGCTCGCTGCTCTAATAGCCAGGACTATGCCTGGTCCCAGGGTCTTCCTCTTCTCAGTGCCACGGGGGAAAATGTGCTCTGTGTCTCAAATCACTCTATCTGAAGCAGGCAAGCAAAGCTCATTTCAGTCACGAAACGAGCAATGGAGTTGCCCTCAACTTTTCGTACTAAAAAATGTCAGTGATTTAAGCTTCAGAAACAGAGGATGTAAATTAGACATTGTTGCATACAAACCGAGCTTATCTTTCACAGGCTAAACAGCGATTTTTATGGGAAGCCTACTCATACCCACACCAAACACCGTTTATTTTTCGACTAGCAGGTCTTTTTTCTTTTTCTTTTTTTTTTTTTTTAATGTACAATTTTAAGGTGTACCACAGTCATAACGAGAAACCCCATTCAATTCCCATTTTGACTAATGGAACAATGGACACCCCCGTGCCGTACCGTGTTGTACCAGGGTAATTAGGGACTGACTGCCAGGGAGCGCGAAAGCACAACCCAGGAATAATCAATGCATCCTCCACAGTGTGCGCTGTAATCCAGCACCTCGCCGCTGAACCGCGTCCCACCAAACCATTCATCCTCACCTCCCAGGCGCGGGTATAGGGACAGCCCGGAGGTACCCAACCTCAGCACGGCAGACAGCCCCCTCTGACCGGACCGGCCCGGCCCGGCCCTGCCCCGCGGGGGGGCGCTGGGGACACACGGGGGGGAGGAGGGGGCGCGCACAGCCCCCTCCCCCATCCCGGCGCTCCGCCCCCTCCGCTCCGCCCGGTGCTCGGCGCGGCACCCCCCTTTCGCTTTCTCCTCCTCCTCCTCCTCCTCCTCCTCACCCCCCCGGCTCCCATGGCGGGCAGCGGCGGCCGATTCGGTGCCGGCAAGCCCCGCCCGCCGGCGGGCCGAGGCCGGCCTCCCCCTTTCCCCGGCCGCCCCCTCCGCGGCAGCCCGCCAGCAGCGCCACAGCAGGCGCGGGGCCGGCTCGCTCCGCGCTGCCTCTCGCCCGCCCGCCCCGCCGCCCCGCCGCGCCGCGCCGCTCCCATGCAGGCGGGCGGCGAGGCAGAAGATGGCTGACTCGCCGGGGCACCCGCGCCCCTGCCCGCCCGCGCCCCCCGCCCGCCCGCCGCCACCGCCACTGCCGCCGCGCTCCCCCCGGGCCCTCCGCGGCGCCGCCTGCCACCACTGAGAGCCGCCGCCGCTCCCCCCCCCCGCGCCCCTCCCGGCCCCCCCAGAGCACCAGCAGCCATTTCATCTCCACCACCAAGTAGGCGCAAAAAATGGCAGAAATGGAGAAAGAAGGGAGACCTCCCGAAAATAAAAGGAGCAGGAAGCCGGCTCACCCGGTGAAGCGGGAGATCAACGAGGAGATGAAGGTGGGTGCCTGTGATGGGGAAGGGAGTGGGGGTCTCCCCCCCACCCCTCGCCTCCGTGCGTGGAAACGAAATAAGAAAGGATCTCTTGTCATTTTTTTTTTTTGTAGGATGCACTGAGTGTGTCTCAACTCCGCCTCCTGGGCTGAAAACAGAGACGAATTCACAGGCTGCAAACCCTGTTCATTCACAAGCTTTATTTATTTTTTTAGCATAACTCTCCCTCCTCGGGCTTTTTCAGCTTCTTGGGTGCCAGTGATGAGCCTTTTTTCCTTCCCTTTTTATTTGTTTCTACCGCCATCCTCTCAGGTAGCTGGGAAGCCCTTAAAGTTAGGAAAGAAAGGGACCTCTTTTAAACACTGTATTTCTCTCCTTTTCCCAGTAGCCAGCTGCAACTGTGTAATTAAATTGTCAAAGTACAATGCTGCGGTCCGAGCCGCGCATCATCGTTCTCCCTCTTGAGCGCGGGGACCCCTTTCCTCTCTTCCTCGCTCTCGCCTCGTCCTCTGCTTTCTGTGTTTCGCTTCCCAGTCCATCCCAGCGGCAGAGGTGCTGCTGGAAGCTGGCTGGTCGGGGTTGCTTTTGCTGGATGTGTATTCTGCGGAAGGCTGTCCTGCCTGGTAGGAACCGGTGCCAGTCCAGCTGTGCTCTGAAAGTAGCACTTGAGGCTGCCGCTCCAGATGTTAGGATGGCTGCGATTGCACAAAAACGTTATTGCAGGACTTCTTTTATCATTAGGTCGCCGCTCCAGGCTTGACCGGTCCTATTTTTTTGCGCCCGTTTTCCGTGTCTGTTTGTTTTATGTCTCAAATTCCCCAAAGTTGGGAACAATGTATTGGAGACTTCAGCTGAACTTGTTGTTGTTGTTCAATGTGCAGATAAGTCATAGTCTGGTTATGAGATGAAGCTGCTGCATTTAATTTGAATATGTCATTTATTAGGAGGCTGATTGTAAGTGGAGGACTGCCTGGAAAATGTCACACATTCGCATAGTATGTATAGTATATAGGCGCGTATATAAATATGCATGATGCCTAGTGAAAATGTCTTTGCTTTCCGGAGCAGTGATCTCCCTGTGTAAAAATAAATGGGAATGCACAGTCCCCTCCCTCTCTGCACACCACTGATTTCAGTTAGGTGCCCTTTCCTGCCCAAGGCAGGCGTTCTTGCTCCTGCTGCCTGGGTAATGAGCATGTACACAGTTCTGTGTGCACATTGACTGGAAATGTGGACAAGCGTAGTATTAGGGGAACAAATGCAATAACATGTCGGCACATTTCTTTGGAAACAAACCGTACTAGTTTTGGGTCCTGAGGACCGGTATTATTCTTTGTGAGATATACGACACATCCTATTTTCAGAGAGGGCTCTGTGCGGGCACTGAAGATTGAGAGTCATGGCTCATTGTAATACCACATAGTTTTGAGGACTGCAGAGGTCTGTAGTATAGGGCAGTGGCCCCTTAGAGCATCACCTAACGTGATCTGTATGGATTGCAGCTTTTAAGTTTCATAGGTTCTAGAATTACAAATTAGCTGATTTTAATCAAAACATGTGAAATGTTATCCTGGCTGGATATAAAGGCTGACTGTGCTGGATCCTCTGGGTTTGTTTTGTTTACTTTGGCTGCAGGCACACTCAGCGGTTTGGGAGATAGTTGTTCTTCTACAGTATAACAGATGTTTGTCTGAAAGGGTGAGGAAGAAACAAAAACAACATTGTGTGAAGGAGAAAAATTACACAATTTCAAACTAATGCTTTGGTATTAAGCACTGGCGTTAACCTTCGTGTAGAGTTTCTCTTTTTTTTTAATCACGGGTGGCTGCTTAATGTTAGAAACCTCAAGATTTCAGCTGACTTAAAAATTAAAGGCGGGTAGAAACGGCATTTTGAATGGATGTGATTTCTGGTCGAGAGCAAGATAGCTGATGGCAGAACCTTTCACAAAACACAGGCCACCTTTCAATGTAAACTATGCTGTATATGCTATGCATTTTTAGTAGGACAGTTGGCTGCTATCCTCTGAGAAGAGGAAAGAGAGGGGAAAAAAAAGAAGTGGTTTGCATTTTGACGGGTTAAGAAAGTTAAAATCCTGTGGCGATCATTTACTCTCTTTCTTTACTGGTGAATTAAGATGTCTAGTTGTTCTTCCTAAACCCAAAGAATACAATAATGTAACAAATTCGTTACACAGTGCAAAATGTTTGCAGCAAAAGGACAGAGGGAGCACAATGTGCCCTTGTGTAGGTTCATATCTGTAATGTTCAAACAGGCTGACTGTTTCCCTTAATCTGAACTGCTTTCATCTGGACCAGTGTAAAATAAGCTCTGGTAAGTAATCACGGCAGAGCAGAAAGAAAGGAATGTATACAGCAATAGACAGCCTAAGCTGTAAAAACTGTAACCCGAGTATCAGCAGCAGATCAGATATCAAGGCTTTAAGGTAGGGGAAATGAAAGAGATGAAGGGGAGGAAAAGACGAGAGAGGGAATGGAAAAGTCAGCTTGGAAAGTGAAGGAGAAGTAGGAGGGCCCCCTCAGGGAAATTTGGCTCAGGGATTAGGGAATTTTATCATGGTGTATAGTGACCTACTCAGGTTTCAGCCTACGTTGGATCGAATTGCCTCCCTTTGCTAGCAGAAAGAAAACAGGACTGGTAGATATGTGATTTTTTTATTTTTTTTTTCTCTCCCCTCCTTCAGATAATAAAAAAGCCGTTGGTACAAGTATCTATTTTAAGTACAGTAAATGCAGGGCACTATGAATGAGCAATAAAATTACCTCATCACAGAGACTCCCTTCAAGATTCACTGTTTGATACAGCCAGATATTTACTCGAGAAGGTTCACAACACCTGACTGGCTTGGTTTGGTCCCTTCCAACAGCAGTGTCACAGCTCAGTTTTGATATGACTGGATGGATATTCAGGTTGCTTGCTCTCTCCTTATGCCAGATATTAAGTTACGTTTTTGTTATCGCTAACCTAATGTACATGATAGTTATAACAAGTTTTCATTTGATACAATGTTGTGTGCAAGAAGTACATGTCTGCGCGGTTTTCTGATATAGCATTTCAATGAAAACTATATTGAGGAGGAACTGTTTTGTTTTGCTCTGACCTTCACAGCCTCTGTTTTCTTCTAGTTATTATTTACCTTTTGTCCTCCATCCCCCTTCAGATGATAGTTTCCATTTTTATTTCCCGAGGTAGTGTTGTTCACCTCATGCTCTGGAAGAGAGCAGATAGTTACTCTGAAATTCAGTTTGGTGCCATTTCTCACTCGCTGGTGAATAACGCCTAATAGATCCAAAGCTACTGTAATCAGGGAGCCCAGTCCTGTTTTAAGACCAAAATATTTTTTTTACAGCTTCATTGATGAAAGCACTCATCACGGCGTGGTGATGTCTTCCCCATCCATCTACCCCTCCCCAGCTTATTTCCATTTGCCATCCTGCTGCCAGGCAGCAGTGCTGCTCCAGAGGAACAGCTAGGTGCTCCGCAGTGTTGTGAAATGAAGTTGTGTCCAATACTGGGTTGCACTGGAAGTTCTCATGAACAAACCAGACAATGTGTCCACGTGTCCCTGTCAGTTGAAAGGCAAGCAGTTAATTTGTGCTGTAATTTCACAGGGCTGCTCTATGTGCCTGAAGAGTTTGCCATCTATAAATATTCTCAATAACTAATTTGTATCTAAAATTGGGCTTCGTTCCTGATGCCTAGAGCTTAAGACAGCCCCATCTGTTACAGTTTAATAGTAAACTCATCAGAATATCTTTCAGTTTAGTGTTTTAATATTCCCCGTTTGGCATTTAGAAGTACTACTGTCAGAAGGAGGGAAGCAGTGAAGCAGGCGTAGCAGCCCTGCGCCTGGAGCGAGCCAGATCCCTCAGAGTGCTCTGAAGAGTCCAAGGAAACTCCTCCCTTCTCTCCTGAAAAGCAAAAAAATGTCCTTGGGAAAGTGGAGAAGCAGGGAGGCTTTACCAGTTGTACTATTTCAGGAGACCGATGTGGAGGGCTTGTTTTTTGCAGTCTGCGTGGAAGGAATTCTGTGGGATGAGTGCAAAGGGAGTTGTGTTGTCTGTACAGGGAGCCTCACCTGCCTGTGCGCCACAGCAACAGCACTTCCCCCAACAAAATTTGTATTGCAGAACCGAATGTGTATGTTGGAGCACAAAGGAAATCAAAGCATCAAGACATTTTGCTTTCTCATAGCATAAAATTCAATATGGTGACAACATACATAAGCAAAGAAAGCGAGGGCGGTAAAAAAGAAATCCAAGTTCATACTGTGACCACAGAAACCTTTTTATTTCCTTGGTGTAAGTGAAAAGTGAATTTGTGGGGCTTTGCACTGAGTGGGTTCTGCAGGCAAGGAAATGGAATGGAGCCACTGTGCTTCCTCCCAGATCTGAAATAAACATTCAGCAGTAAAACCTAGAAGAAAATGAGTCTGACAGACTCATTCTCCCCTGCGTTTCCTGCCTCCGTGTTTGCCAGGCCTCGTTGGCTGAAGCCAGGCCTTGCCCCCTGTGAATAATGTTCGTAGAGAAGGGAAGGCAAGAGGTCTAAGATGGAAAGAGAAGCATGGCTCAGCTTCAGAATGTATTAATTAGCAAAGATTTGGGAAAATGATGCATTACAATGTAAAAAAAAATCAAGCTGTAGGTGTCCTGTTACGATGAAATGAATCTTAAAGAGGGAATAAATGTGATATTTTAGCATATAAGTTAGTCTCACAAAGGAGAAAAAACACAGTCTGGCGAGTCAACACCCTCTTCTTCATCTTTCCTATGAATAGGAAGCAAATTCAAGTCAAAATACCAATGAGTGTAATAGTTAGGTAGTTATCCTGGCTGTTCCAGGAGGAAGGCTATTTCTGCACATCACAAGAATAGAGAAATCACACAGTTAAAACATGCAAATTACGCATTGCCCTGCAGTGGTGATAAGTGGTTTGGGACTTAGCAGGGGGCAAAAGAAGAATTGCTGTCTATTAGGAAAGAAGGGCATTGGTGGTGGTGTGTGACTGTGGCCGCTGGAGAATTTTTGGGCCAGTTTCTTTGGCAGGGATGCGCTGGTTGTGCTGCAGCCGCAGATGAATGCCTGGCAGTTAGGCAGCTGTGATGGTGCACTGTCAGCTAGAGGAGCACAAGAGATTTGGCTCTGGGAGGATGTTCACTGACTGCCTGGGTGCACTGGCAGCTGAAGAGGTTGTCAGTGTTTCCACCACAGCCTCGGGAGTCTGGCTGCTTGGTGCATGCGCAAGAGGCTGAATGTGGCATGGTGGCGTGAGCACAGAAGCACATGGGGAAGGATTTTGGTGCTTGTCTTCTCAGCTCTGGTGTTGGCCCACTCTGAACAGCACAGAGGCTTGTTCTCTTTGTTTCCCTGCAGGGGACTGAGCATTGCCTCCTGGGCAGGGCAAAGCTGGTTTCTGTGCTGTAATTTTGCAATTAAATCCATGGATCCTGCAAGGCTCCCATTGGGTTCAGTGGGATTCATACTGGGCCAAAGGGTCCCAACTTAGCAGTGTGGTTGCTGACTTGGATTTTATTGATGATGGACCGGGCTGTGGGGTTGGGGTGGCAGCCTTCAACCTGCAGAACCTCCGCATTCTTTTTGGGAATGAGTCTGAAAGTAGGCATGGAAGAGCTCAGTGCCTCTGCTGTCCTGTTCCTGCAAAAGCTTGGAATTGCAGCTACTTGCACATCCTTCATCTGGTCATTCATACTTGTCTTTACATCTCCTTCTCCCAGGGCTTTGGCAGGTCTGTCATCTCTCAGTTCAATTGGCTGTTTCATCAGTGCTTCTTTTGCTCTCATGCTTCAACCTCAGGTTGATCCCCCATTCTTGCTTTTCTGAAGCACTGTTTTTACAATCAATCACCCTTCCTTTCACTAACCCTTTTAAGCTTGTACATCTTCCAGTGAGGTTCTGCTGTCCGTGTACAGGTTGTGTTCCCTTAACTTCATCAAGAACTGGGCTTTCTTGCCCTCGTCTGCCCCCTCCCTTTTTTTCCCTGCATTCACACAGAGAAAATTAGTCTTGTCTCATCTCATCATTTGTATTTTGACTCTTGCCACCACACTGGTCTTTACAAATCCCATCTTGTTACTGCATCTTGAACCCACATAGATTGGGACTACCATTGCAATGGAATGAGTGGAAACAATGAAATAAGAATAGTGGTCATCTTTAGGGCAGCAGCTTCAGCAAGGATATGGGGAGGGACTTTATAAGAGCAAGTAATGCTAAGACAAGGGATAATGGCTTTAAACTGAAAGATGAGATACTGGGAAGAAGTTCTTCCCTGTGAGGGCGGTGAGGCACTGGCACAGGTTGCCCAGAGAAGCTGTGGATGCCCCATCCCCTGGCAGTGTTCAAGACCAGGTTGGATGGGGCTTTGAGCAACCTGTTCTAGCGGAAGGTGTCCCTGCCCATGACAGGGGGTTGGAACTGGATGAGCTTTGAGGTCCCTTCCAACCCAAACTGTTCTATGACATGACCTGTGTGACCATCAACTTGACTGACAGGATATTAAATGTTGCTGCAAATGGGTGCTGTAGTCGGGAGTCTGAGGGAAGATGATGTACTTCTGTGGATGCCTATCTGTGTGAGAGAGTTAGTATTGAAGAAAACATCTCTCAGCTTTGACTACTAGCTGATAAGGATGGGATCATCCTCTTGGTTTGATATGCATAAAGTACTGTGTAATGAAGCTCTGGCTGTCAGCCACAAAGAGCATAGTTTAAGAGTGATCATCACTGTAATAGGTAAGATAAATTCTGAAAGAGTAGCTTTTTTTTTTTTTTTCTTTACCCAGGCATCCTTGTTGAGAAATCACAGTGTTAAAAATGGCTCACTTTTGTGAGTGCAATATGCAGCCTGGTTATACTCTCATTGAATTTAGTAGGAAATAACCCAGTGATATATTTATTTTTTTTAAGAGTTAAGTTTCTATGATGGGTAATGTCAAAATAATTTGTATTTTTGTCATGATGAGTGTTCATTTTTGAGTGTCACCTGTCATGGGTAGAAACAATGAGACTTGAAAGGTACTTAAACTTTGTGCCATTACAAACCAAATTTGGTCACTTTGACTAGATTCTGAAGAGACAGACGTGTATGAATTGCAGGAAAAACATACCTATAGCCTTGCTTACATGTTCTTTGACAAGTAATTAGAAATTACTCATTGCCTGAGTTGAACAACAGTGCAAATAAAACACAGAGCATCCACAGGAGGCAAATTTAGAGCTACTCCATTTAGTTCCATGGGGTTTAAGTCAGGAAGACTTTGTCACTTGGTCTCTGCCTTGCTGGATTAGTCTCTAGGGCTGTGTCTCCATAGCTGAAATTTAGCAAAGGAAGGGAGGCTGGCAGAGCTTGCCTTTGTGCCTCCATGGACCCATCCAGGTCATTTTGGGTGAGCTGCAATGGCGAGGTTTCACTCCCCATCTCCAGGTCATTTCGTTGTTGGATTCTCAGGAGTTAGAGACAGGTTCTGCGCTGAGAGAGAAGTTTTCTAAACAGCTGAAAACCAACCAACCAAAAAATTTAGAAAAATTTCATGTTTTTGCTAATATTTAAAATACAGCACTGCATCAAATGAGAGTGTAAATACATATATTAGAAATCGGTGTGTGTGATAGCCACATTACACTGTATTGTACTCACTGCAAACTGTAGTAGTGACATAGTTCAGACGTAATGGGATGTCAAAATGCTTACAGTAGAGGTGGAATGATGCCATGTTTTCTGGTGATTCAGGGCAGCACAGGACAGCCATGGAATTGAGATTTCCAGCAGGAGGTCAAGTGAAAATGAAAGGGGGGAAAAAACAAAAGGAAATTGATGCTCCAGAGGTCTACTGTGGGGTTTTGTTTTGGTTTTTCTTTTCCTGAAATGTGTGTTTGTGGCACAATTGCACAAATGATACTCCTGGAAGAGTACAAATTGCTTGTGTTTATTGCTTATAGCTGTTTTACAGCGCTCCTTGAGTGACAGGAACACCTATGCAATCTGGTGTGATGAATGAGCCAGGAGCAGTGCAGGGCTCTGATGTTCTGGGGCAGAGCGTCTGCTGTAGCTTTGAATTCAGAAGCAATTATCATCTGATTAATTTTATTTATTTATTTAAATGACTGGAGAATTGCTGTGTTCTATCATTAGACTTGCTCCCACTCAAAATTAAGCTAGAGCAGCTACTAAACAAAATCTAGCAATGTGCAAATTTGACATGTACCATTTGTTTTGAATTGGTGTCATATTCTCCTTATTTGTTTGCTGGTAGCCAGAGTCCCGGGAGATGGTGCATATCAGGAGCATTATTTTAGATGTCAAGATCTTAAAGGGAAATTAAATTCGGAATTTATTTTTAAAGAATAATGGTAAAAAGCCGCGGAGACCAAATAGAAAGGCTTTGTGTGTGGCTTTTTCGTTTCATTTAATAGTTGTCATACTACTTTAAGCTGATCTTTGCCATCGCAATAATTCATTAGCTGGTTTCCTTTGGTAGTTTCCTAAATCCGTAAGCTGCAGAGCTCCATAGCAGTATTTGGTTTCTGAAAGCTCTGTTGCCTGGCTGCAGATTTCTTAACTTACTCCACTAAATCTCCTGGCCCAGTAATGAGCATTTTCTGCAGGAATATTTTTGCCATGTGACCTAGAGGATGTGTTTTTAATAGAATTTCAGAGTTATGACAGTCATGTTCCGTATTTTGCATTTCCATGCAAACATAAAACGTAACCACACGGCTGCTTGGAAATCGGTTGAAAATAAATATGGCAAAACTGAGAAAGGTTTCCTTAAACAAATATAAGAGATGTTTGTATGAAACATTATGGTAAAATGCTTTCATGGTGAAGAGTTTTTAAGTGGTTTGACTATGTAAGGGCTTATAACCGAGGAAGAATGTCTTCACTGTGATTTTATTTGATTTGGTTCATGGGCATCTCAAGGAACTGTAATTGTGTCAGTGACCTGCTCCAGCTGAAAAGATTGTCGCACAGGAAGATTGATTAACTGCTGGCTGAAAAAAATCCCTTCATTTCTGTTATTCTCTTGCTGCAGTCTTAAATATTTTATGGCAACACAGACAAGTTTGTATGACAAATGTATGTTAAAATATTTCTGACATTGAATACCAGAGCAAAAGTCATAAATAACTCTCCTTTTCATTTTTTTTAAATTACAGACATATGAGTCTCTGTCATAATTACATGTGCCAGTCAGAGATTTAAATGCATTACACTTTATGCACTTGACTTATGAAATGAACATTAGTCTTTGAGGAGGTGGGCCAAACCTGACACTTGCTCGTGTAGCACAGATACGGTTCGATTTATGCAGTCCTCCATTCTTTCCAAATGGTTATTGATTACATAAATAAGTAGGTAATTTTTCTCTTTCAGAACTTTGCAGAAAACACTATGAATGAGCTTCTTGGCTGGTATGGTTACGATAAGGTTGAATTGAAAGATGGAGAAGATATTGAATTCAGGAACTACTCAGCAGATGGGGAAAGCCGCCAGCACATTTCTGTTCTTAAAGGTAATGCGACTTCATGTTTCTGTGTTCATGCAAAGAAGGATTAATATCTCAACCTGTTGGAATTGGCATGGGTTGGGAAGCGTGTTCTGCTGCTTGCTTTGTGGTTGGTTTACATAAAAATATCACAGAGTGCCTTCCGGCCTGAGGAAGCCAATAGGGTATGAGGAAAATCCCTTAAAATTACTATTAGTAGGCTTACTAATATACCTTCACAAATAGTACCTTTTGTGAGTCAGTTGAAAGTCCTGTACCTGTGGTATTAATAAACTGCTCAGCTGGAAAAGAGGGAGCACTTTCTTAGGAGTGTGGCTTTAAGGAACCCTTTTGCTTTCAAAATCGAAGCTTTTTGGCTAAGGCTTTTTAGAATTCTGGAAGATTTTGAGCTGGAATATTCACAACAGATGTCGGAATGAGAGTGAACATTCACAAAAGGGTCCTCACCCATGTTTATACTATACTGTCTTCTGTGAGTGCTGTAGAAGTTCTCCAGGGATGGGATTTGTTTGGAACAATGCTGGATCTTCATGGTTCAAAACGTAAAAGATCGGATCCAGTCTGTTTGTTAAGCCCTTCTGTTGCTGCCTTCTGACTCTTCAGTCGCAGGGAATGGGTAGGGACTTGTAATCAGGGTAAAGGGAATGCTGCATCTTGACTTATCCAGCAAGAGTTCCTCAAAGGTTAGGTAAACAGAGGAAACTGGCAACTTCTATGTTCATAGTCTGCCACTTTTCACTACATTTGTGGCCAGCTGTGTTTGGGTTTTCTTTCTGATGGCCCACAGCAGCTGTGTATTGAGTAAGTGTTGCAGTGAGTACTGATATCAGAGAGACAAGTTCTGAAGAGAGATGGTTAGGAAAAAGGTGGAAAAATTAGACCTAAAGGTGGAATAACCTAACCGTGTTAAAATTGAATGTTTGCAGCTTGTTAGTTCTGTAGTGACATTGGTGATCAATATGTATTTTTCATTGAAAATGTGATGTCATTAAGTCACCTTTGAATAAACTTGTACTTGAGTAGTGATGTGATTCATTTATTTATGTTTTAATGATAGATCCTTTATTGAATGGTTTATGGCTTCAGTCTATGCCTGATGAACTCTGTGATATACTTCTTTTATAGACACATGATCTGAATCATATGTTTTATGTACCAGAGAAAGATGTCAAATATCTGTGGCAGGTAGAAACCTTTGGTGTATGCAGTCTATGGGAGGGAGAAAGTAGTGTTTCTTTTTCTGAGAGATGGGAGGAGAGGGAATAATAAGAATTAAGTCCTGCCCCATAGCTAACTGAGGTGCATTAGAGAAATTCCTACAAATAAGAATCCTTAGGTAACTTGTGATTAAAGAAGTAGAATAACAATTGTCATAATTTCATGTGCACTTGGCTATAATTTCAGTATTTTGTTTCTTTCTTTAAATCCTTTCCATTACAACTCCACATATTATTGCTAGAGAATTAGGAATTCTTTTATTTTTCAATTTATGCTTCTTATATTGGTGAAGTTATAGTACACTGAGTGTGATCATCGTGCAAACAGTAGAAATAAAGGGACAAGAATAGGGTGTCATTGATTAAACCAGGCATACTAAGGGTGTGCATAAGGAAATAATCCTATCTTTTTTTTTAAAAAAAAAAGTGTGAATTTTATTTTTAAAATATAGAGCATTTCTGAAGAATACTGGCAAGTATCCATTTTTTAAACAGAGGACATATATAGGGGTTATTGTGTGCTCTTCTTGTATTAGGGTAAGTAATTTAATGAGGAGATTGGTGACAGTATGTAGGGGCATTTAAGAAATCTAGGTGTCATACTGTACAATGTGTTGTTTGTGTTTTACAGAAAATTCTTTGCCAAAACCAAAATTACCTGAGGACAGTGTTATTTCACCGTACAATATAAATCCAAGCTACCCAGGGCTTGCCACAGGAAATGGACTATCAGACTCACCAGCAGGGTCGAAGGATCATGGGAATGTACCGATTATTGTCCCATTAATTCCACCACCTTTCATAAAGCCACCAGCAGGTAAATCCTAATGAATGTTTAAAAATGGTTACCGTCATTGACACGTCCTGAGATTGCTAGATCATGACATCTTAGTGATGGAGCTAATTTCAAAGTGTTTAAAAGCAGTCGCAGAGAACTTTAAAACAGAGTGGGAGAGTGACTTCATTTGTTAGTATTCTTGAAAAACTTCTACAAGTGCAGTGACAACAGACTTGTGCTGCTTGTGACTCTCAGCATGCTGGATTATACTCTCAGCACTTCAAACACATCTGCTTTTTAGAAAGAAAAAAGATTTTGTTCTGATGAATGAAGGCTTTAAATAAGTTAATGGAAGATGATTAAGTTAAAAATAGGCTCCATGAAAGAAACAGTGGAAGAGTCAAAGCCATCAACTCAGTATCATGTCTTTATATTAGGTTAACAAGCTCATCCTGGGAAAACTGTCTCTTGACTGTTACTGAAATCCCTGACCGTTGTCTCTTGAGAGTTTAATACGATCATGACTACCAGGAAGACTGCACTGACATGTTTTACATTTTCATTAGATTTTTATCAGGAGTGATTTTATAACATGCCATTCCTGAGTTTGCATGAAAAATGATATATTCCACACTGCATGCTGCTTACCATAATCTGTGAAAGGAACTCTTAACAGCTACACCATGGTGATTAACTGCTGTGTTATTGTTTACTGCTGTACACAGTGTGATAATTGGTAGATTTAGAGCACAGAGTGACTTGCAGTAGCTACCAAAGAGCAGTAGCTATCTGCATGCAGGGAGACAGTTGGCTAAGGAGTCCCCACCAGATGTGAGGATGCTCCTGCAGAGGCAGAACAACTTGTAGGATCAGGTCCCAGGTGTGAGATGGTCACCTCTGCCCTTTGTTGCGTTGACTAAAGGTAACTATAAAATACCGATTGGTCCAAGAAAGCGTTTGCCTGCTGACAGTCATGGGGTAGACTACAGTTGCTCCTCCCAACTTATTTTTAAGCCATCGACTTTTATCTCTAAAAGAAGTATACTAATATGCTATGAATAATTTTCAGATGTTGCTCAATATGCATTCTTTGCCAAAGACTTTTCATCTATTTTATATGATATTTGCTAATTACCAAAGCTATTTGGGCCCATTCCTGCAGCCTTTACACAGCTAAAGATCTCTGGCCATATGGGCTGGATCCTCAGCTGTTGTTGATTTGGCCCTAAAGCTTTAATCAAGGGCTTGTGCCATCCCAAGCTATTTTCTCCTCTAATCTGAGTCACGAATGAATCCAGGATGCTGAATTTGTGGTATGTGAACACAGGGCTATAACATGCATTGTGCAAACTGCCACAATTGTGGGATTTTTATGACATCAAACAAGCAGGAGGATGGAGCTGTGAAGTAGAAAAACAAATTACTGCAACAGTAGTTAAATGGGCACAGGGGAACCTCATCCAAGTCAACTGCCTTGCCTTCTTTGCCTGTCCGCCTATCATGTGTGATCCCATATTCAAATGTAATGCTAAGGGTAATGTGCAGAGAAGGCTATTCATGAGTATTTTCCAACTTTAGGTTTTTAATTCATTAATTCATAATGAATATCATTGTTTTACTTGTATAGGGGATATAAATACACAATCTCTGCCTCCTCTGACTTAATCCTATGATCAGTAATGAGCACTAGATTATCATGGTTTATGAGCAGATGAGTATATTTATCTCACCTTTGTTTTAGAGAGCAAAGTTTGGTAGGACCAGAGAGGGAGGAGACCCACAACCTTTGTGGGATTTGCAATAAGCATCAGTAGTAATTGTTTTGTTTTATCTTAGGGCGTAGGTGCCCTAGTCATGATCACCCAAAGAGCCTGGCAAGAAACAACTGGTGGATACAAGTAGAAAAGGGAGTACAAAGGAGCCAGGAGAGCCAGCGTGTAAGGCAGTGGTCTTGGCACTGCACTTTGACACCATTATGTGGGCACTACATCAAAGCAGAAAACTTCAGAGTGATACAAAGCCAGACAAGAGTAACTCTGGGGATGTTTTCTCAGAACCCCTCGCAAGCACAGGGGTGACTTTGGAAACAGCATAAAGGTGCTTCTTAGAACAGGCAAATGAAAAAGACGTCATTAATTGCTAGAGCTGAAAGTCAACATTTTCAACATGGGAGAGAGAAGGGCTGTGGCTGACCTGCCACAAGAACAGAAGCTGCTTACATTTGTTCAGGTTAATAAAGGAAGAAAGGAAACAGCAGAGAGAGGCAGAAAGAGTCCAAGAGAGAGCGTCAAGGTTAAAATGCTGCACAGAGAAAGGGACTTTTGCCACATATTTTGAGTGGATGCCTAGAACAAGGTTACCAGACAGGCCAGAGAGAAACCCAGGTAGTGCTGCACTGTAGAGACTGAAGTGCTGAGAATTAGGATGAGTCCAGACTTTGTGGATGGATGGGGAAAGCTTTTATATACTGTACAGAAGAAAAATCTACAAGATTTAAATGTGTCTCAAAAGAGAGTGCCTGCAGGTGGAAATGATATTTAAATCGTGAACCTGAAGGACAGGAAAGATGGTGGTGTGGTCTGCTGTTATTGAGCAAATAATACAGAGTGAGCACTCAGGGAAAAATTATTAAGACTTAAATTCTTATTGCGTTGGTCTTGATCTGAAGGGTTAGCACCAGTAAAGAAGTGTCAGAGAGACAGGCTGAGGTATTTATTTGGACAGGAGAGCAGTGGTGTGGAGAGGATAAACAGATCCAAGAAACAGTCACAATGAATTATTGGTTGAATAATTTTGGCAGATAAGAGGCAGAAGGGAACGAGCAGAGCATGGGGGCTGTTCACAGAAGCCTGAAGGGAGGAATGGGAAGGATACCCTGCAATGTGCACTGGTGTAACAGTTGGACAAGTAGAAGCAGCACTGGGATAAGACAAGAGTCAGGAAGCCAAGGGAAACAGGTTTTCCAGGGAGGCAGATAGGATTCTTGGTATCAGAAATTGTTACCAGAAGTAAGAAGGAGGAGGAAGGAATACTGATCCTCAGCTATGTCTAGGAAGCAGTCACTGAAGATTTCAGCAGATAGGTCTTTCTTGAGTGTGTTTGAAAACTTAGAACGGTGTCCTGTCTGCGTTTGTATTTTGTATGAACAGGCTAAAACCTTGAACAGTAACAAAATTATCTTTCCCCCCATGCTTGTTTTACAGGAAAGTGTTGTGTGGGTTTTAGTTTTGGGTTTTGTGTTGGTTTTTTTTTCTTTTTTTTTTTTTCCTCCTCCTTTTGATGACCAAACAATTATGAGCAGTCTAACTAAAATTATACCTCCAAGCTGTTCAGCTCTCTTTCAGTCAAATGAAATATTGGGTAAAAATTGGCTATACAATCCAGGAAAACATTAGAGTTCAACCTGACCAAGTATGAATAACTTCGGTAAAGACACTCTCTCCTTGCTATACCCAAGAACTACACCTAAGAAAGGCTGAGTTAAATGCCTGGGCGCTCTGTGGTACGCTGACTGTCTACAGGCTCGGGTTATGACTCGTTGGTGCAGGGCACTAAATCTAGTCATGGGAAGCCTCCACAAAAAGGATACCACTTACTCAAATCTGGAGGCTATTTGCAGGGGCACCACCAGGCAAGTAGACCATGCTCAGGCAGCGCCCAAATCAAGTGGGACAAGTCAACATCAACTATCTGACCTGCATCTGGAAGCAAATAAGTTAGTGCAGCCTGCAGAGAGTTGGTGTAATAATCTCCTTGTGGCTGATAACTGTCCTTCTTGTCCAGCAGGCTGGTAGCTATGTTTACTGCTAGCAGCCGATTCTGAGTGATCTTCAGGGTTAGTCTCCAGTGCAACCCTTTGCAACAAACTGATACTAAAATTGGTTCTGCTTGGTGTTAGAAGATTCTTATGTTCTACACAGCAATGTAAAGAAAGTGGTTTTTTGTTTGTTTGAGGTCCCCCTGCATAAAAATTACATAGAAATAATGAAAAAACCCAGAAGTGAAATAGTCAGGAATGACCTAGAAATAGAAACCCCACCACATCTGCACATCTGTCCGGGGTATGTGGCTGTAGTGTGCAGCATGCAAGCATCCTAAATTATTTTGCAGCCCTTAGTGGTAAATCTGAGAGGGCACTTAGGGTGACTGCCCTTTTGCTCAGACAGGTTTGAATGACTGTTGTTACATGGGATGAAGGAAGGCTAAAATCAAGATTAGTCAAAGAAGAATGCAAAAAATTCTTTCAGTGCAGGTGAGAACTTGCTGCCTCCTTCCCCTGGCACCTGCAGCACCTGCTGGAGGCTATGTATGGTGTCTCAGTTTCCCCATTTTTTAAAGAGTGCTCTTTGGTTTACTTTCTCTTGTGATCCCCATGGCAGTGCTTCAGTAGGGGAGGTAAACTGCTGGTTGGTCTAGCCTTTGAGCATGGGTGTTGGCAAAACTCTTCCCTTTCTTGCCTCCTCTGCATACAAGTGATGCACTGGGTGCATCTGCTGTTCTAAGCATCCCACACAAGAACCAGCTCCCTGCCATGCTGCGCTGTCGGTGAAGGTCACTGTCAAGGGATGAGGTGGAAGGGGAGGTAGAGAAAATGATGGCATTCAGGTGACTGAGATTTCCACAGGGGAAAGAAACGCAAGGGAAAAATGCTCCTTCCCAGGGTTTTCACAAGATAATGAGTATTTGGGAAAGGAAATAGGAAATAGGATTAAAATCCTCCAACCTGCAGATCAGAGTCTCCACATAATGTTTGCTTCAGTGATTTACAAATGATAATGTTTGGGGTCGTACCAAAAGTTATCAGAAAATTGTGAAAATGAAGGAGGAATGGGCTGGAGGAACTGCATCTGTTGAGACAAAATATCTTAAAGGGGGAGCAGAAGCATTTCCAGTGCTGACTACCTTGTAAAATAGGCCTGTGACCTAAGTTGGCAAGTAAACGTTATATTTAAATACTAAAGCAAATAACTAGTATTTTATAGAAGGGAACAATTGATTTACTATGTTACAGCTTAACATAGCTTTAGATTTAAAGTTTA